AATGGCTTCAACAATGGCTATTCCTCTGCATCCTGCTCAAGTCCCTTCTTCGCACACTCCCGTATAGAACCCACTGGGTCTAACCTTGTCCCTTATAACATCTCGGCACGGACCACATAGAAAATACAGCTCTCCTAGTGTTGGGTTCGTGTCTTGCAGCATGAACGTGTTTACCGAGCCGTTGCCCAGAAACGGCCCTGGAATACCCGCCTATCTCGCGGTCGTTGCATGGCAACGGCTCTACGGCTATTTTAGAGTTTGATACATTGCTCTTTCGCTGTGTTATTGGAAGGGCGTATATATGACCCAGATATTGTGAAAGGGTTTGTCAACCATAGTAACAATGCATACTGCTGGATATAGACGCCGGCAAGGGGAAGGAAGCCAGGATCTACCACCCACCACTTGATTTTGGGAAGAAAATCGAAATGAACAAGAAGTTGTGGGAAGAAGTGATTACCCACTTTCCTTGATACGATATGGACCTTATAGAAAAAGACGCGTCCAACAATTCTATTGTTGCGTGGGTGTTCCTTGCCGCGGTAACGTTTTTACCGAGCCATTGCCTAGCAACGATAAGCGACACACATGCCTGAACCAACTTATCGGCGTACTTCATAAATGTTTTTATGTTTGTATGTGTGTTGCTAGGTAACGGCTTGGTAAAACTTTTCTGCAACAACGAATATGGATGCAGTAATAGAAGAACTGTTAGAGGCGTCGTTTCCAATGCGTTTCGTGTCGTAGCAGAGGAGAGTCTGGGTCTGTTGTTAAGCAACGGGTCGGTAAACACACGTTACCACGGCAGAGAAGATTGTTGGAGTCGTCTTCTTTGCGGGCCCATGTCGTATCAAAGGAATGTAGGCGATTAGTTCTTCCTAGGACTTATTTTTTTTATTCTGTTCTGTATACTTTTAATGTGATGCAAAGAGAAACAAATTTCTGAACCACACGGGAAGAAAAAGGTTTGAAATATTCACAGCGTTATTTTATAATGCTAGTCGGTATAGCTGGGGTTCGATACCCGGCAGGGCAAGGGATTTTTCACCACAGCGTCCATACCGGTTCTGTGTCCCATTCAGCGTCCTATCCAGTGGGTAAAGCGTGAAGGCGTTAAGCTAAGCACTCACCTTAAGCTAGTGCGTTAGTAAAGAATGTGTGGATCTATACATCTACTCCCCTATACACCTTCATGCCGAAGTGCTTAATTAGTTACCCACAGGGACAACTGTACAAAGACAACCTTTCAGTTCGTCGCCATAATAGATACGGACCTCTCGGAACGTTTTGAAGTCACGGTGATGGGCGGTGATTATGCTTGTGTTCTGTTGGAGCACGCCTTTGAGTTTCACGTGCTATATTTGTTCCATGAGACGGCGCCTGTTATATTCCGAAATGGCCGCCAACGCCAGAAGTCTTTAGATCCATTCACCTCGCTCGGCGCCTTCACCAGAACCCCCGATCTCGGGCATAAAAATAAATTGTACCCCTCTCTTTCCCCCCTTCAATAACACTGACTGCCTTACTTCCAGATAACGCAATAATAGTAGAAAAAAAGACGCCACCACCTTCAACACCGCCATGTTTGTTTACACCCTTCCTGCTGCGTGCAAAGCAACTGCGCAGTCTCTCCGTTTGGGAACCAGTCCAGAATACTGTCCTCCTACATGAGTTATTTCACACACTGCGCATGCGTAGACATAGCCTCTGTGGATGTAGTTTATTTAACGACGCTCTCAGACTGTGTAGCGTCGAATGTTTGGCGAATAATGTAAATGGTGTGGGATGAGGCCTGCGTAGTCTAATTTAAGGTACTCTCGAGGCGTTTGCCTGGAGGACTGAGGAAACACAAGAAACCCGCGGTCAGGATAGCCAGACCCCTGCCGAGGTTTGAACACGGGACTCCCTCTTCCGTATGATGCAGATTCGCACGAATTTCGGTTTATTTTAATTTCTTTATGGGTTACTTAACGAAGTGCTGAGGTGCTAAATTATATAATATTTATTATTATTTCTTCAATGGATGTATCCTGTTATGTTAAATATATAATTTTCAGTATTATAATCCGCCACAACAACAAAAACCGTTGATGTTTAACAGTATTTTGCACTGCTAAACATCAACTGTTTTGTTGTGTTGTGACCGATTTTAATAAAGAAATTTAATTATTTTTAATTTTTATTATTTTATGTAAACTGCAAATGGGTTTTGCCTGGTTGCAGTGATACTACAGTAAGACACAACACACAAATAGCACACCATACTCAAACAAAACACAGTACACAAAACTACACAAGCAATAAAGGACACACTGCACAAAATTTGTGGGGTATGATGAACCAGTAAGTATAAAGTAAGTAAAGGTATCCATGTAAGAGGCCGTGGAGGCCCATAGGGTAGTGAGACGTCGAGACTCCCACATTTTCTCTAGACAGTCAGCTTGCAGATGGCGGTAAGGACGTCAGCTTTACGCGCCGAGCGCCCTTTACCCCCCGAGAATATTCCTTGTACTCGGCAAGACCGCTTATAGTGACACAGTGGCTGTGAATTAGATTAGCGGCGAGTGGCCGCAGTCACTGTCACTAGAGTCGCGCTAGGTTGCGCGTCCGGACGTTACCAGTTCGCGCGGCCAGCTTCCTGAGCCAGTTACAGCAGCGCGTCGTTAAATGGATGAAAGGAAGGACGGCCCCTGTCGTGCGGGAAAACGAGCGCGTGTCGCCCGCCCACCGCTAGGAGTGGCCTCCGGACCGTGGTCCGATGTGCCATATTTCGTCGCCGCTAGTCCAGATATTTTGGATTGTGAGCGGTAAGACTGATCCCACTTGTTACGGTGCATTAGTATGGACCCTCGGTGGAACGATAGTTGCCAGTGGAAACGGAAGTACTCTGAGAAAACCTGCACATTATCCACCATAAATCCCACGTGATAGAGCCAGAGCCGGCGAGTAAGCGCCTAACTGGTCCGGTCATGTCGGTATAGCGATCAGTAACGAATCTACCGGCCTACGAAAACGGGGTCAAGAACCTGTCTTTTCAAAATGATGTGTGGCTCGCGGTAGCGTAGTTGAGGCATTGTGGTACAAGCCGGAAGGTCGCGGGATCGAATCCCGATGAAGTTACTAGATTTTTCAATTGACCAAATCCTTCCATCCGCACTATGGCCCTGGGTTCGACTCAGCCTCTAACAGAATTGAGTACGAAGAATATGCTTGGAGGTAAAAGGTGGTTGGCGGCGTGTAAGGCTGACAACCTTACCGTCATCTATGAACCGATTGTCTAGAAAATGTGGGAACCTCAACGTCTCGCAATCCTATGGGCCTCCACGGCCTGTTACAGGGATAGCTTTACTTTTAGGAACCGGGGTTCAAGCTCCTACAGGGGCAAGAGATTCCCTTCTCCACTGCTTCCGTATCGACTGTAGAGCCCACCCAGCCTCCAATTCAGTGGATAATTGGACTTAAAGTGCCCGGAGCGTCAAGCTGGCCACAAACCTCTTTCTAATGCTGAAGGTAATTACAATTGGTCTGTATCGCCATACCCCCAATACTTAATTAAGCAGAGGGACAATTCACTGTTCTGTCTTAAATTCTGGGAAAATCCGGAACGGTGTGGGCGCTGCTACTACAGAGGGCAGACGTAGCTTGCACATGAGGTGTCCTTTACAACCCCTTTACTCACTGTCTGTGTGGGAACGCATATATATCCGTTAAAATTGTGGAGATCGGAAGCCTTCAGTATTTGTCCCCTCATGTGACGTCACTGAACGTCCCGGTCGGGTGGGTAGCACACGTTCTTTGTGAGATCCCGGTTTCGAAACTCTGCCCGTAGCCCGGCTATCCTCACAGGTTTATTCGAGGCATTTCTCATACATTCCAGAAAAAGTATGGTGACATATGAATCCACTGCTAGGCAATGGCGCGATGAGCTGAATAGCCAGAGAGAAAATTAGAGAATTGCGATTGAGAATCCAGTTCATTCGAAAGCGAGTCGTGATTCGGCATTCGTAATTCCTAAGAGAATTCAGAAGGCAGTTCAGTAGTTGAGTGTTAATCGGAGGAGGGCAACGGGAGCTGAAGAAGTGACCGATTCGCAAATCAGAACCAAGTCAGTCACAGTGGAAGAGAAGACACTCGTAGTCCAGTAAGGAAAGGAGCGAGTCTTAGGCAGTTCATTGTGAGCTGTTATAATTGTAAAGGCAGTTATCCACTCCATAAGCCGTTATTATTGGGCACGGGACCCTGGACGTATGACAGTACATTAAAAAGTGGGCCATTGGCAAATCCTTCCACGTCCTTTTCAATTTACCGTCCACAAATCATCGTACCATTCGATATATCGTTAAATAAACGAATGACAAGTTGCAAGATGGCCACTGGACAAACTGTTAGATTATATGCACATTTATATTATTCAGTCCTTCCAGGTAGGTGCCCTGATAATACCTCTATTGCTCCACGACCACTTCCTTCCAAATCCTTTCCAGTTCATTATTCATCCTACCATTCGACGCTGTATAGTATAGCTGCTGACAGGGCCGTTAAATAACCCATACTCGCGTAAACAGCGCACAGAAATGTACCACAGAATTGTATACTCGTAAATTATTGATTCATAGTTTATGGTGATCTGTAAATAACCCATACTCGCGTAAACAGCTCACAGAATTGTATAAATTATTGATTCATAGTTTATGGTGATCTGTAAAGGCATAAAATGGTAAAGCTATCCCTGTAAATGGCCACGGAGGCCCGTCGTAGGGTTGTGAGACGTCGAGGTTTCCACATTTTCTAGACAATCGGCTCACAGATGACGCTGAAGTTGTCAGCCTTACGCGCCAGCCGCCCACTCTTTACCCCTATGAAGATTTCTTGTACTCATTTCTGTTAGAGGCTGAGTCGACCCCAGTGCCGTAATGCGGCTGTTCTTTTAATTTCTTGCCAAATATTTAACCCCCCATAAATTGAAGTCTGCCTTACTGATTTCATTATTGTTATTGCAGTCATATAACCCGGACCACGACGTGGGAGGACCCGCGTAAAACATTGGCAGCGCAGGTTACACAATCACAACAACAGCAACAACAACAACAACAACAACAGCAGCAACAGACGTCAGCAGACCTCATCAGCAATGTTGCCGGATCTCCACACTCCTCCACATCGCCCCAGCCACAAGGTAACTGTTAACAATACCAGTTCCATAACATAGGCGTAACCTATTCCACACTGATTCTTCTGTTCTTCGCTCCAGTTCTCTCCTATCACAGGAAGGGTAATCGCCGAGCACTGTCACTTTTGTACCCTCATTAATCCTTTAAAGACTGAATTTCCTCTATATAATTTATAAAAATTCAGTCCGTACCTCACAGGAAACTCATTACGTATCTGCTACAAAGCCCAACCGGTTACTGCTGTTTAGGAAAACAGTCGCTGTTTGTTGTGAGAACCATACGGAACACACAACCACTCTGTGGGCAGAAAACTCAGTCCGTGCCTCTCAGGGAACACATTACGTCTCCACTACAAAGCCCAACCGGTTAATGCTGTTTAGGGAAACAGCCGCTGTTTGTTGTGAGAACCATACGGAACACACAAATACACTCTGTGGGCAGAAAACTCAGTCCGTACCTCACAGGGAACACATTGCGTCTCCGCTAGGAAGCCCAACCGGTTGATGCTGTTTAGGGAAACAGTCGCTGTTTACTGTGAGAACCATACGGAATACACAAATACACTCTGTGGGCAGAAAACTCAGTCCGTACCTCACAGGGAACACAGGGAACATTCCTATGATGTACGGGCTTAATTCGTATCAAAAGATAAATTGGACCCAGCGCATACTTAATTAAGCACTGTTCCATGAAGATATATGGGGGGACTGGAGGTACGTATATCTCCGCCATTCTTGACCTCGGCACTAGCTGGAGGTGAGTAGCCAGGTTCACGCCCCTGCCTCTTTACCACCGGAGAGAGGACCCCGCCCCGTACCCGTTGGATAGGCTGGGTGGGCCCCAAAGTCTGGACGCTGTGGAGAAAATAAAATTATGACACTGCCGGGATTCGAACCACGGACTTTCAGCACGTAGCCGTTCGCTATCCGGACTCCAGAATTTCTATACATTGTTCAGAAGAAATCCAGTCGTAAAAGGGTTAAGGTTACAGCAGACGTAAGAAAATCATTTGCATAAACAAACTAGCAATATGGCCACTCATGAGATGAGTTCACTGTTCAAATAGAAAATACAGGTGGTGATACGTTGTAGTCGGCAGCCACCTGCCCAAGGTAAGAATGGAGCGCACAACGCAGGTGGCCTGCTGAGTTGCCTGCCGGTCTCATCAATGAAGATGCGAGCTAATCATTCTACCGTCGGCTTCAGGTTACGTGCTCACTCAAGATACAGTCACATGTGCTGTTGCTTATTTGATAAAGTTCGGCTACTCTGCGAACCACGTTACGTCATACATCGTAATAGAATTTCCTACCGACGTTTGAAATTGTTTAAAATACAGTCGAGTAACTTTGTAATAATGTACCGGCCTAGAATCTACTGGGAAAACGTCGACGGGGTTAGGAGAACAGCAATAAAGTTTTGTTCGATGTGAAGTTCTTTGATCGTATTATCACGATTTTATGGAGTGACTGTAGACGGGGTTTGGATTGGTAATGGGATTTATTGAACACTTATACACACAACTCGTGACTACACTCTACAGTACACAAAGAACACATATTTAAGTCTTCTCAGCCTGCTGTGTCTTCACCAGTCGTTGTCTGGTAACGGCTTCAAACATCGGACTTTACCCTTCCTCTGGGTTCCCGAACTGTCTCTGTGCCTCAGCTACAGCAACTCTCGATTAACTAGAATTAGCCTGCTTATAACATTTCGGCACGTACCGCGTTGAAGATATCGTTCCTCGGTTGCTTTCGCTACTGTTGGAAAGCGCACGTGATCGCTACTTACCCATTGCCTAGCAACGGTAGAGTCATTACTTAGCAACGGCTGTTGTGTTGCTGCTTATTTCGCTGTCGTTTCCTAGCACGGAGTGTACATGCCACAATATAATTCAGCAGTAACGTAATATATTTATTCTTTTATTTATACCCACCTGATGATGATCAACTAGACCGAAATTTATAGTGTGTTTGGTATAATAAACAGATCGTATTATTTTATTTGGCCGATAAAGGTGTCCGCCCGGTCTAAGGCATGACCTTCGCTCTCTTGAAAACTCGGATCGTGGGTTCAAATCCCACTTAAAGGCATGGATGTCTGTGTGTGCTTATATTCTGTTTGTGTTGTTCTGTGTGTAGGTAGAGATCTTACGAGTGTCTGTCCCCCCGTCCAAGGAGTCCTACTGACTGTGTAAAAATGATCACAAAACTGAAAAAAGGCCAGGGCCAAAAAAAGGGCTGTAGGGCCATTGATGCTTAAACGAAAGAAATTATTATATTTGATTCAATCGTTTATTATACACTAATCAAACCCAAGTTTGTTGTGTGGCGGTACAGACCCCTAGTACTTCCAACAGCGGTGACCACCTCTGTGGATTAGTGGTCAGAGCTCCAGACTACAGATCCAGAGGTCCGGCCTCGATTCCCGGCGCTACCAGATTTTCTGAGAAGTAATGGGTCTGGAACGGGGTCCATTCAGCCTCGTGAGGATAATTGAGGAGCTATTTCAAGGAAATAGCGGCTTCGGTCTAGAAAACCGAAATTAATGGCCTTGGGGATTCGTTGCGTTGACCACGCAACACCCTCTACCCCCTAAAGTTGGCACTAACTTCTCCGACAAGCGGCGGTCGCTCGGTCGGTATAGTTCGCTTGCAGACTAAAACCACGGAGTTTGTTTGACTGTGAGTAGTCTTCTTTGGTTGTGATGTAGTGTAGCTTGGTAAAAATTTACCGAAGTTTTGGAGGAATGTGCTGCCTCCATCTTCAGGATCGAAGATTAAGCCAAGCATGAAACCAGCAAGATTGCTTAACCTAAAGCTTTGACCCTAAAGCCAGAACCCCCCCCCCAAAAAAAAAGAACCTCTTTTACCGCGTTATATCCCAAACATTTGTTACGGATGATAGGTTTGAAAATATGATGAATTTCGTATGACTAACTTGGCTACTGTTAGCTTCTGAAGCCTCTGCTCCATGGACGTAAGTTATGACTGCTTGAAAGTAGCAACAACTGTCGTTAATTTAATCGTGAATCTTCATGGTGGCCCACTATTTAGTGTGTCACATATAGTTTTGACTCTTGGAACGAATTGGGTAAGGCGAAATGCGAATGCAGCTTCCGGAATGCCCGTTTACGCTGTAATTGTGTGGATCCGTTACGTTCGTTTCCATCGCGATGTGCGACCATGTATGAGCATGCGGTTTTGCTTGCCTGCCCAGTGATGACTCGACAGGACGTCGACCTTATCGGCAACATAGCCCCGCAGCGGGACTTGCAGACGCGAGCGAGACCTTCTTCCGAATTAAGGTGAAGCTATCCCTGTAATAGGCCGTGGAGGACCATGGGGTTGTGAGACGTCGAGGCTCCCACGTTTTCTCTAGACAGTCGTCTCACAGATGGCGGTGAGGTTGTCAGCCTTACCCGCCGACCGGCCGCCCTTTACCTTCAGGAAGATTCCTGGTACTCATTTATGTTAGAGGCTGAGTCGACCCCAGGGCAACAGTGCGGCTGGAAGGATTAGGTCAAGTGAAGAAATCCAGTGACGTCGGGAATCGAAACCGCGACCTTCCGGCTTGTAGTGTAGTGCAGCGTAATTTCGCATGAGTGTACCCGCACTCACGCAGGTCAAAGTAAGGGAATTTGTACTTGTCACTTTGCTGCAGTGAATAACTTGTATGCAAGGTATAGACAGGGCATCAGTCAGTGGATGCATTAGCCGCGCCGTGTGTTGAAGCTGTATTACACTCGCCCAGAAGATGACTACAGTAATATACGCCGACACACGATGGGTCTCTAAACCCGGAAAGACGAATTATGCATAGACAGGGCGAAACCCCGAGGAAAATGCCAAGATTACTCCTAACAGTGAACGTAAGTGGCCCAGTGGCTCTCGTGTACCCTCGCGCATGCGTAAGTCCATATCGTGAGAGGACAGGTAACGCTTCCGGTCTGATGGCTTTCGTAAGAGGCGATCCTTGTGGATTTTGATATTGTGTACGAGATAAAAAGACTGAAAAAAAATATACCTGGTGCCCATTTCTTTTAGAGGCTGAGCCGACCCCAGGGCCATAGTGCGGCTGGAAGGAATAGTTCAGTCCACCTCATCATGACTCGAACCCGCGACCTTCCGGCTTGTAGCGTAGTGCTTCAACCAACTACGCTATCGCGAAGTTTCATATTGATGACTTTTGTGTGATGACGCCGTCTGTTCTGGTAGGCAGACGGTATTTCGATTATTTTGCATTTATTTGTAGTTTATTTAGTAATGAGGTGCGTGTTGCAGACTGTAGCGGCCGATGATTAGATGATACAATAAATAATTATTTGGTAGGGGTAAGGCTTAATTTTGGCTGCTATCGCAGCGTTTGTGTGGAGATACTGATGGAAAACCAATATCTCAATCATGATAACTGGTTGCAGGCCGAATTTGAACCGGTCAGCCCCTCCCTCCGAATATGAATACAGAGCTCTATTACTTGAATTGCCATGAACGTCATTTCGGAGGAATACGCTCCTCCTGTCTTCAACATAGACCTGAAGATGGCGACAATATGTTTCCCCGAAACGTTGACTTTACTTACGAGGCTTGTCGTATACATTGAGGTGTTTTGCGCAGGAAACAGTCTTCTACTTTTGAACCTTCTGGCATTGAGTCTGTCACTAAGGCGGTAAGGCCGGAGTACTGAAATTATTCTTATTTCTGTTATCTGTCTGAAGCTGCAACGCCTCTTATCTCCAAGGTCAGCATCTCTGCGTGTCACTTTGGCGTTATTCTGGTGACAGTCTGTGTTGGGCCCAATGGAACACCTGTTCCTATATTTAGACTGCCCGAAGCGAGTCATTCAATCATCTCGCATTGTTTCTCATCCACTGTGTCACGCCGTTCTGAATTCAGATGAATTTGAACTCGCCGAAAGGTCTTTCTGCAGCTAATTTCTTCATCTCATTGACGTGTGTTGGTAAACTTGTCGACTACATGAACACGTATGGGGGACCAGAAGTATAGCTCCACAGCTTCATAGCCGGGATACTAGATGGGTGGTCACCTTCACTCCCGTTTTACCGCTGAGGAAAGAGAAACGCTGGTACCCACTTTGTAGGAGGCTATACGGGCCTCAGGGCCTTCAGGAGGACATGGAGGCTCATAGGGTTGTGAGATGTCAAGGCTCCCACAGTTTCTCTAGACAATCGGTTCACAGATGGCGGTGAGGTCAGCTTTACCCGCCGGCCGCCCTTTGCTCCTGGTATTCATTTCTGTTAGAGGCTGAGTCGACCCCAGGGTCATAGTGCGGCTGGAAGGATGAAGCAAATTGAAAAAATCAGCGACTTCATAGGGAGTCAAACCTGCGGCCTTCCGGCTTAGGATGCCTAGGAGAAAAGTGTCTGTCCCCTGCCGTGAATTGAACCCGCAGCATAATGCCGACCGAGCTATCTTGGTGCTGTCATAACCCAGCATGTCACAATGTGACCTTCTATTACTTTACCTTTGAAAAGAAAAAGTCTCCAAACATACCTTTCCTACCTCACAGTTATAATGACCAGTTGGTTAATGCTGTTCAGGTAAATCTCTTTTTATTCTGCGAATCGTTTCAAGTGTGAGAGTACAGTCTGTTGGAAAAATGCAGCGATTTGGATTAAAGCAGGTGGTACATATATTAACCTCTGTTCTTTACAGGGTGAGAGATGTATTGTAGAGAAAAGTTTTAAGAATCCCCACCCTTTCAGTCGGTATAGCGACCGGACCGGCTCTGGGGCCCACCCGGCCCCCATCCAATGATGGATACCGGGGGCTGGGGCTGGGGCTGTGGCTGGGCCCTGAAGCTGACCACCCTTCTCCATCTGTTGCTGCCCTTCGGATGAGTATCTGTACATTGGAAAAATTGCAAGTGATTGAAGGAGTGTTATGGTTTTCCAGGGACCAAGTCAGTCGATGCAAGTTCCCTAGGACCGCTCCCAGAAGGATGGGACCAGGCAACCACTCAAGAAGGAGAGGTGTACTTCATCAACCATCAGACTAGGACCACGTCATGGTTTGATCCCAGAATACGTGAGTATCTTCACGCCAGACACTCAGAGTGGTGTCATTTGAGGTTGAAAGGGGAACTGAAATTATACTTTATATATAGCGCTAGTATGGAATTTCAAAACCTCGGCCAAACACTGAAATTTTAATTTGTTGAATTATTAAGAAAATTTTGAAATATATGAGTATGTGATAATGTCTTGGGAGCCTCGTCTCTGACCGAGAACGTGGCTGGTTGCAGAATGAGGGACGTTTAAATTTCTTTTATGTTGTAGAACAGTGGTTCTCAACCTGTGTGAGACCGCGGCCCGGTAATTTCTTTCGGCCCGGCAGTTGAGAAACGCTGTTGTAGAAAATGTATTCCAAAACTGGGAACTTAAGCACTTACGAATGTAGGATCAAAGTAGAACGAACCTATAAGAATATTTTTCTGCCACTTGTTGAAGGAAAATTCTGGTTGCAGCTAATGGAAAATATGTTGTCACTTAAAGTGTATAAATTAAAAATGTGTATAAATTATTTCAGACAAATATTTTGCTTTTGGTATGTATTTAACGAGAGAGGATTAAAGATTAATTAAACCTTGAAGTAAAATTCTAGTTCTCCTTGTCTGATTCAGTTTTACTCTTGTATTACTATCTTGTAAGAGAATCCTAACATAATTTCATCAGACGTAACAAACGTCAGGAAAGGACTGAACTGGCTGGCCAATTGAATGACTTACACGTATTTTGGTAGTAACACTATTGCTAATCTTGATTGATTTAATGTCCGTGGTGTATTAAGATAAAAAGGTAAAGATATCCCTGTAACAGGCCGTGGAGGTCCATGAGTTTGTGAGACGTCGAGGTTCCCACATTTTCTAGAAAGTCAGCTCACAGATGGCGGTGAGGTCAGCCTTAGGCGCCGGCCGCCCTTTAACCTCCCCCCTTCCAAAAAGATTGCTGCTACTCCTTTATATTAGAGGCTGAGTCGACCTCAGGGCCGTAGTGCGGCTGGAAGGATTAGGTCAATTGAAAAACCCACTAACCTCATCGGGATTAGAACCCTCGAGTTTCCTGCTTGTAGCATAGTGACAACCAACTGCACTACAGCGTGCCCATGTAAATTCAAGTAATCCATATATATTGCTGTCATGATATGTACACACATTCAGAGGGCTAATTGGGTTAACTTTATTGCAACATTCTCAAATGTTTTGATCCAGGATGTAGGCAACCTCTCAGAAGGGCAGGAAGCCCTGAAAGAAGTCCTGGTGTTGCAACAGGCTGGTAACCTGCTGAAGTAATAACAGAGTTACTCATATTCCTCGGAGATGCTTCCTGTTTGAGGACGGAGCGGGCTTACGAGCTCGACCTTTGCAGATGATAATGATGATGATACGATCACGGTTTCGGGTTGGATCTCGTGATATACTTCTACCGGACTGGTGTATATGGGTATTTTGTGTACTGTGTCTTAAAACATCTTTTAGTTTTACGTCATGGTCAGCGAGTGACGTTGATTATTACGTCATCATTAGAACGTTATTGGATTCTATTTTCAACGAATTGCGAGAGCTATTTCAAGGAAATAGCGGCTCCGGTCTAGAAAACCGAGATTAAAGACTGCGGGGATTCGTTGCGCTGACCACGCGACATCCTCTATCCGCTAAAGTTGACGCTATCTTCGCCGGCAAGCGGCGGTCGCTCGGTCGGTATAGTTCGCTTGCGGACTAAAACCAATGAGTTTTTTTTTAGATTGTCTACTGAAGGCATGGCGTGCCCCCAGGTATGTTATAAGCGAAGTATAAGAAACCTGTTTTGAAGACAGTTTTCTGAGTTTCTGTGTTGAAGCAGGTTGGTGCATATAGAACCAATGGGTTTTAAACTGTTATGTAGGGCGTTACAGTTATTAAAATGATCTAATCATTATCATACTCCCTTGATGGTGATAGGTGGTCCTAGGTGTCTTAAACAGTTCCCTTTATGTGCCGAACCCTTTCTTGCGAAGAATTTATTGCTAGGGTCCCATGCGTTGATGGCGTGTGTAAGAGATCAATGCGTGAAGTTTGGGGGAGCGGGCTCCAGTTGGTACGAATTTAAGGGCAGCGCTGCCTCGCTCCAGGCACCATCCCCCCTTTCCTCCTCCCGGCGTTGCCCAAGAACGCAATAATGGTGCCTTTGTGATGTGCTAATATACTTCCTTGGAATATCAAATTTCAGAAAGGATTTTCTCTCGGTGATATTATACTTGAAGACCTGAATGCTGAATTTCCAGTGTCTCGGAGGTTATCATTCTTTTTTGTACCAATTTTGAAGCAGTACACGGTGTGTCCAGGATCCGTTAGGACTTTTTTTTTGCCTGCAGTGCCATCTGTTGGCGAGTTGTGGCGTTAAGATTCTTGAAGTTTCAGCTGTGGCTGTCTATAATTTCAAAGCGCAAGCATCGCTGCGTCATGTGTTCTGACCTTGAATGTAATATTACTGTTTTGACGCTCGTCGAAAATGGCGATTGAACCGGGAGCCAACATCAAATTTTGTTTGAAGTTAGGCAAAACAGCCGGAGAAGCATACGAAATGATGAAAAGTGTGTACGATAGTGATTGTGTGAGTCGCTCGAACATTTTTCGATGGTATGCTGTATTTCGTGACGGCAGGGAGGACATTGAAGACGCTCCACGTGCATCAAAGCCGAGAACAAGTCGCGCTGAAGAAAATGTGAAAAAAGTGACCGAAATCCTTGCATCAGACAGATGTGTTTCTGCTAGACTCATCGAGGAGCTTTTGGGATTACCAAAAAGTACTGTGCATCAAATTTTGACAGGATTTTGGCAGACGGAAGGTCTGTGCGCGGTTTGTACCGCACGCGCTGTCAGGCGACGAAAAACATGCCAGAGTGGAACACTGCAAAGACATGTTACGGTCGGCCCAAAGTAATACAGAATTTACAAAACCGATTGTTGCTGGTGACGAGCCATGGTGTTTTCAATATGAGCCTCTCACAAAGCGGCAGAGTGCAGCGTGGTTGAGCCCAAAGAAGCCGAAACCTAAGAAAGTGCGCATGCAATAGAGTCGAGTAAAGACACTGCTAGCCGTTTTCTTCGATTCCAAATGAATCATTCACAAGGAATTTCTGCCAGAAGGTCAAACAGTGAATTCTGATTATTATTATCTCGGAGCCCTCAGCCGTTTGTGGGAGAGAGTTCTTCCAATTCGACCTGAATATCGAGAGCAGCGATTTTTTGGCCAGAAAAGGGATCACAGTCCTTGATGATCCTCCGTATTCGCCAGATTTGGCTCCAGCAGATTTCTGGTTGTCCCCAAAAGTCAAGTTGGCGATGAAAGGAGACCGTCACGACGCCATCCAGGATATCCAAGGGGAATCTACCGCAGTTTTAAATGCGATTCCACAAAAGGAGCACAGTGACTGTTTTCGAAAACTTTTCAATCAATTTGAGCTATGTATTGATTCAGAAGGAGGCTGTTTTGAATAAAAAGAGTTAAATTTTGAAAATAATTCACGTCTTGTATTTTTAATGAACACAGTCGTAACAGAACCTGGACACACTGTGTATGATCGGACAAAACCCATCAGAAATTAATCGAATTTGTGGCTCATACATAGCTCATGCAGAAAGACAATATGAGGGTACGTAACAAAAGGTGATGACAATTTTATTATAAGGTTGGATAAGTTAGGCATAATACACTCTCTACACAATCGGCCATATTTTTCGATGAAATTATATCTATCCTTATATTGTTTCGTGGTTCCGTTGGAATAAAGCGTTCCCATGTGTTTCAGATGAAATTCAATTCCAGCATTGCTGATTCTTCTGTTGTCCTAGATACGCAGATGGATCTGTTTCCTTAACCTTATGTAGGTTTATTATATTCCCGTCAATATATCACTTCATCTTCAGTGCTGTCCGTCTGCCGTTTACACTCCTATAGTCGTTCATAAATGTGTTTCTGTTCGGCCGGGAAACCGAGGATTTGTTAAGGTTCATTTTCCCGCGTACTTCTCTATTATAAGATCTGAAGCCGCCATCTGAGTATATCTGATTTGTTTTCTTGTGCTGATTAAATATTGTTAAAACCCTGATGTCTGACGATCATCAGGAGGAGTACCAAATATTAATGGAAACTTTTGTAATAACGGTCCCTCATGTTTATTTTACTTGCGTGCTAACCTAACAGCCCGAAGGCCAATTACGGAGCGACCACGAGTAAAGGAAAAGAAACAACACACACAAAGCACAAAAAGAATAATTTTGAATAATAATTCCATTAACACTGATCAGAGTGTTATCATTAGAAGCGAGAAAAATATGCAATTTACAATTAATTACAATTAATATTATAATGCTTGCTACAATTCAGTCCAGAACCTTTTGTCTTCTCGTCTGCTGTCCAAAAACATAAAAATTAGAATATACAAAACTATAATTTTGCCTGTGGTTCTGTATGGGTGTGAAACTTGGTCTCTGAGATTAAGGGAAGAACATAGACTCTGGGTGTTTGAGAACAGGGTGTTGAGAATATTTGGATCGAAGAGAGATGAAGTGACAGGAGGTTGGAGAAAACTGCATAATGAGGAGCTTCATAACTTGTACTCTTCTCCAAGTATAATTAGAACGATCAAGTCAAGGAGGATGAGGTGGGCAGGGCATGTAGCACGAGTGGGGAGAAGAGGAATGCGTATAGGATATTGGTGGGAAAACCAGAAGGAAAGATGCCACAAGGAAGACCAAGGCGTAGGTGGTTGGATAATATTAGAATGGATCTTATAGAGATAGGATGGGATGGTATGGATTGGATAGATCTGGCTCAGGATAGGGACCAGCGGAGGGCTCTTGTGAACATGGTAATGAACCTTCGGGTTCCATAAAATGCTGGGAAATTCTTGAGTAGCTGCAGAATTGGCGGCTCCTCCAGAAGGGCTCAGCTCCATGAGTAAGTAAGTAATATTTTAATTTTAATAATTTGCCCCCTGTGCTTAATATAGATTCACATTTTCTTGACCTCGACACTAGCTGGAGGTGAGTGGTCAGCTTCACGCCCCTGCCGCTTTACCACCGGGGAAATGGCCCCCGGTACCCATTAGGTAGGCTGGTTGGGCCCCAGAGCCGATCTGGACGATATTGAGAAGAGAAAATTCTGATCCTACTGAGACTCGAACTCCGACCCCACGGTCCCTCTACCGACTGCGCTACCTTGGCTGACTTGTATTCATTGTAAATTTGTATATTTTATTTATTTTCCTGTTTTTTCCTCAGCTCAGCCAGGCAAATACTTGGGCTAGTGCGTCGATAGGCCATAACCTCTTCCTTACAAATCCTTTGCAATTCATTTGTCACGGTACCTTTACCTTACATCCTACCATTATACGATATACAGTGCAATCTGTACTGAAAGTATCCTAAAATAACCCCCACTCCTCCCCAAAACGAAACTGTTGTTATTCTACAACGACCTCAGTTCTTTTCTGCCCGCCTACGGAGGAAAAGCAGTAATTTAGAATCGCATTGTACTGACATGCAGTATTGAGGCCAGCCTCCTTAATAAAGTCTGTATGATATTTATATATTGCTTCAACACAATGTGCCTGCTTTCAGTTCAGACAGAATCCAATTTTTATCACCTTGAGTTCAGTCTAATAGTGTAACTTTTGTGTCATGTCATGACGAACCTTGCCCAACCTTGCTGCGGTGTGGAGTACGCTGGTTTCAGCTGTAGCTCTCTGACTCGGAACGTTTCCTAACTGAGGGTTTCCATGATGTTCTTAAGCCCCTCCAGTGAACTTCAGGAAAATACCTCCATTAGATCGTGATCGGTTCGTTCCAAATCCTTTGCAGTTTGTCATTCATCGCGCTATTGGACGCTGTATAGTTTAGATGCTGCAAGCAACGCAATTTAATTAAAAACAGGACACTTGACAATACGAACACAGATAGAAACCGTTTGGCATGCGAAGTGCCTCGCCCTTTTCAGGGACTGTAGAAAATAGACTACATGTAGTATAGTGACGCTGTACACTGTTTCCTGGTCAGCGCAACCGTGAAGCTAACTTATGCGTTGTGGGTCGGCAGGACTTACGCGATGAGCATCAGATTCCTATGCTGGACTGCGCGCTCGCGGAAAGAAAAGAAAAAAAAAGTACTTTTCTTTTGTCCATATCGAAGGTTTAATGAATTAATTCAAAATACATAACTTGGAAACAAAATTTTTTACTTCTTATATTTAGGTACTTCGGGCAGTTGAAGTGAAGAGAGGTTCGTAAGTCATTTTGTCGTGTGTAATTGGTCGTAGCTTGTGGCCAGTAGCGTGACTTATGTCCTTATAGATTTAAAGAAAGTTTTGTGGAATTGGAATAGGTTAGGTTTGTGTTTGTGTGTCTTGTGATCGTCTCTTGTTTTACAGCGACTGCTATGTGGTCCCGCACCGCCATTCCGTCCCTCGTGCAGCGCATGCGCGTTCTCAGACTCTCCGCGAATCACAGTACGTAAATTAAATGACCTAAACTTCCTCTAAATTTACAGTTTGTTTCCTTCATTTTATGTTCTGCTATCAGAAGGCCAACGAATCCATTTACTGTGTTCCTACATCAGTGCAATGGCGGTGGTGCATCCTTCATGTAAATAATTGTATTAACCCTTTAAAGACTGAATTTATTCTAAACAATACGAGTATATAGAATTATAGTTCGCACCTCACAGGAAACACATCATGTCTCCGCTACATACCCCAACCGGTTAATGCTGTTTAGGGAAACAGTCGCTGTTTATTGTGAGAACCATACGGAACACACAAATACACTCTGTGGGCAGAGAATTCAGTCCGTGCCTCACAGGAAACACATAGTCTCCGCTACAAAGCCCAACCGGTTAATGCTGTTTAGGGAAACAGTCGCTGTTTATTGTGAGAACCATACGGAACACACAAATACAATCTGTGGGCAGAAAACTCAGTGCGTACCTCACAGGAAACACATTCCGTCTCTGCTGCAAAGCCCAACCGGTTAATGCTGTTTAGGGAAACAGTCGCTGTTTATTGTGAGAACCATACGGAACACACAAATACACTCTGTGAGCAGAATACAGAGTTTTTGTGTGTTAAAGCGGGTGTTACATATAGTAACCACTGGGCTTTGAAGGCTCAAATAAAGTATTTTGTGTTTCGTTTTATTCTTGAAACCAAATTAATCGTAAAACAAGTTTTAGTGGGAGCAGGTCGATAGTTTCCTTGAAAAGCTCATAAATCAATGAGCGTTTCATTTGTAGGTATCCTGGACTAAGGATAGTTTCATCTCGAGGACACAGCCAACACAGGACGACACAAACATCCATGCACCAAGTGAGAGATCTATGCAGTGAATATTTAAAATTCTTTTCCGTCAGCAAGGAATACATAATTTATCTGTTAACAAAAATTGGTTGGGGGGGGGCTGTTATTGATAGTTAACTAAATCGTTTGTTATTCTCAGGACGAAATCCATATTTACTTAATTAACAATCAAGTTCCTTCCGTCAAATGTGACACTTTTTTAAGTTTTCCACCTCGTCACCACCTGCCTTACATGTTTCGGCTCACCACGGAGCCATCATCAGAGGCATTTATAGTAGAAAAAGAAATCACCAACACACAAAACTTCACTTTGTCCAAGATAGCTACGTTCCAGTTAATTACTTGATTGTTAATTGGTTAGTGTGACGGACCAGAATGAAAGACCTTAAACCATATTTACTTATTTACTTCTTAAGAGAGAAACGGCGTTTAACCGTAGTCTTCTTGCATGTAATGCAGTTACTACTGCCTTATGAAGGGTTAATACTGTATATTCGATAGGATCCTTTGTGTGGGGAGTATGCCCAGCGCAATACCTCTGACTACACACATCACCCACAAACACACGTTCGTAAATCCATGTTGTGAGCTGGGGATACAAACTCTTTGATGTTAATATTCGAGGAACCAAAGACAAAGTTTGAAGTGAGGGAAAAGGAATCACTTGTAGTTACGTAGGCGCGTTATTTGAATCCGGCACGGACAATATGTACAGAGCCCGACAAATCTGTTTATACGCGTTCGTAATGACGTGGCCCGCGAAGATGAATGGTACCATATGTTAATGAACCAATCCCAAACATAGAGGGCTATTGCACTTTTCTGTGTGTGAATTTTTGTGTTTTTATCAAGGATATCACCCATATGAAAATGGTTTCTTTGAGCATAGTAATGTGTAATATGGCTGCATTGTGTTTCACTATTTAGATCAGTGCATTGCATGACCTTCCTTTTAGGAAGTACTAACACGTCACGTCTGCTGTGGACTGGACAGTCAATACAAATACACACAATAAGCTGTTTCATCAACGCGCAAGGATACATGAGATGCGTTTAAATGAGACCGATCTTCATGGTCGTGGGTTCGATTAATTTCTGAAGTTTTCTTACATCGCCGGCCACGAAAGCCAAGCGGTCTAAGGCATGAACTGTCTTCGCACGCTCGGAAGCCAGGATGGTGGGTTCGAATCCCACACAAGGCATGGATGTATGGTATGTATGTGTGTTTGTGTTGTCCTGTGTTAGGTAGAGGCCTCATATTGACTGTCGCGTCTGGTGTAAGCAAGAAAGAGATCCTATATGAATCAGATATCTTGAAAAATATTCCCGTCTTTCGGTCAGCGGGAAGTCATTTTGTCGCTACCTGACAGGAGCCTGGGTACTGGGTTCCATTCCCGGCAGGGGCGAGGAATTTTTCTCTACTCTACAGCGTCCAGACCGGCTCTGGGACTTACCCAGTTTACGTCTGACACCGAGGCTTCTTTCTCCGTGGTTAAAGCGGGAGGGGCCATGAAGCCGACCAGTTACCTATCTAATGCCGGCGTCGAGAATGGTGGAGCTATACCTCCACTCCTCTAGACGTCTTCATGGCGTGGTTAGTAATTAAACACAAGGACAACATTACCTTCTACCTTTACCTTATTGATATATGTTGTACATTTCATGGAATCATGATCGAAGTATAAACGTTTCCGTCCGATGTAAGGACGCCTTAACGTGTTCCAGTCTTGCGTTACTTAGCCACAATGTAGACACGTGTTACCGGAACTGTGACGCACTTCCGTGTTAAATTCGCATAGGGCGGGTTTTCACAACGGTAATACCCCATAGTCGCCGTATTCGGGAGGTGCACAATCCATCCTAACTGAAGTTTCTCGTGGTTGTCCTCAGTCTTAGGCAAGTATCGAGATAGTGCCTCGATTAGGCCAACGTCACTTCCCTTTATATCATATCCAATTTATCGATCTTCCTACCATTGGAAGCTGTATAGTCTAGGTACAAAAATACCACACTTCACGGTCTTACATTCCGGACAACAGTGATCTTCATATTCAGCTGCTCGCAAAATGTTTATGTCGTAGTTCTGGTTCGATATATCGCTGCAGCGAGGAAACTGCAATATGAGGAGCTTCGTAACTTTTACTCGCCAAATGTAATTAGAATGATCAAGTCAATAAGGATGCTATTGGCAGGGCATGAAGCACGCACGGAGAAACGGAATATGTGTAGGTTTTTCGTGGGAAAGCCAGAATGAAAGAGGTCCCTAGAAGACGTAGACTTAGTTGTGTTTAGGAGGATAATATTAATATGGATCTTAGAGAAATAGGTTGGATTAATCTGGCTCAGGATATTTACCAGTGGAAAGCTCTTGTGAACCTTCATAAAATGTTGGGAAATTCTTGAGTGGGTGAGCGACTTGTGGCTTCACATGAAGTTAGTTCTTTAATTATTGTTGATGCAGCAAATCATATTTATCGCGTTGATTAAGGATTTCACAAAATACATTAATTTAAAAGTCCCTGAACGTTCACCGGGATCTCCGATGTGGCGATTTGGCCCCCATCATATGTAAAAAATAAAATAGTGATCTTCTATTGATGAACTAACGATCTACAAGGTGTGACAATTTAATTCCCGGAATGGCCGAAGCGTGTCGCAGGGGTGTTGTGTCAGGCAAACTCATGCACCCAATCACGTTTGGACATGTTCCAACTGGCGTTTACATGAGCCACAAACCAAATGAGTCGTTCGCTCCCAAGCAGATAAAGCAGTACGTTTCCCTGGTATACTGTCAGTGGGAAACAGCGGACAAACAAAGTTTTATGTGAGGATTGGTAAAAGTGCTGGTGAAACGTTAGACCTATTAACAGTGGCTTATGGTGAATAGGCTATGAAGAAATTGAGTGTATTTAATGGCATAGGTCAAGGGTATTCAAACTACGGCCCGCGGGCCACATCCGGCCCGCGATGTGATTTTATCCGGCACGTTGAAAGTGCTGAATTACCTAATGTGGTCCGCGTTTCGAAAAGTTTGGAGACCCCTGGCATAGGCGGGGCAAGGAAGGGCGAGATGGTGTTCAAGATGACCCAAGAAGTGGGCAGCCAGAAACGCAAAGAACAGATGCAAATGTGGACAGAGCATGAACAGGCGGTGAAGCAACAGTGTTATTTGGAAGTTGCTGACAAGGTTACGGGAATCTGTTGGGAGGAAAAGACCGAACTCTGGCCAGACAGGTGGATCCTCCACCATGACGATGCACCTGCGCATGATGCGTTAAGAGTTCGCGAGTTCCTGGCTAAGAAATATATTACAAAAATGGACCATCCACCCTATTCACCTGACTTAGCATCATCCGACGTTTGGCTCTTTCCAAAATTAAAAAAAAAAACAGCTGCTCTGAAGGGACAAAGATTTGCTTATGCAACTTCACAACGTTACTGCGAGGTATTCCGGAAAACGATCTTCATGACTGTTTCCGGCAGTGGCGATAGCAGCCGCTAGTGCACAGTTAAGCAAATTTTGCTTTCACAGGGTCATTCCGGGAATTAAATTGTCGCACCAACAGTGAGCCATCAACATTGTTGTGGACACAATAAGTCTACTGCAGTGGAGCGATCACGTCACTATGGTGTGATTCGAAACTGGTTGTGGAGTAGAAGTGTAGACGCTTGATGCTTGACCTGGCACACATACGCGTATTGTGCGCAGTTACAGTAACATAATACAAGCGTGCCTTGTTTTTTCTTACGTACTGGACAATATTCTCTGTCCCATCATGTTTACTTGCCTTATTAACATTTCTCTTCCAGGAAGACTACCACGAAACTACAACAGACGGCATGCACTTTGCGCCGAATGGTTTAAAGTCTGTGCACCTCATTTCGTGTAAGCACGCGTAGTTAGTGCAGGAAGCTAAGCGTCATGGCCGAATGGTCGGCAGTCCAGTTTAGTATTTCGGTTGTCCTGAGCTCAGATCTCGAAATGGTATTAAATTTGTAAATAATAAAGTTAATAAATGTAAAGTCCCTGTATTCGTGGGAAAGACAGTTGGAAAGAGACGACTGTGAAGACCAAGGCGTAGGTGGGTGGACAATATTAAAATGGATCTTAGATAGGATTGGATTGATGTGGCTCAGGATAGGGACCGGTGGAG